CCTCTTCCCACTTTTTTCTCTCCTGTCATGGCATATGATGCCACCTGTTATCTGTGTCTCTTTCTACCTTGCCGCAAAGCAGGTGGCAGGGCTGGTGATAGTAGGCAGAAGGGGATAGAGAAAGAAATGGCAAGCCTTGTCCAAGCTGCATTTTCTTCAAACCACTTCCTCTCCGCATTTTCACCACATGGCTTCGTGCCTGTCCACCCAGCTGGTCACCATTTGATCACATTGGAATAAACAGCTCACCGCCGATTCACGCTTTTCCCCTGGTAGGAAGACACCCCTATGTCATAGGCATCAAGTGTACTCTGAAGGTATGACATTATGCCAAGTGAAATAAGCCAGACACAGAAAGACAAATACTCTATGTTCCTTACTTATATGTGGAACCTAAAAAAGTTGAACTCTAAGAAGCAGAGTAGAAGAGTGATTACCAGGGGATGTGGGATGGGGAAATCGGGAGATATTGATCAGAGTACAAGCTTTCAGTTATAAGACAGTGACTTTAGTTAATAATATTTTTTTAGTTGAGATTTTATAAGAGAATGGATTTTAAATGTCCCCAGTGTTCCCCACCCCAATGGTAACTGTGTGGTGCTGCATGTATTTGTGGTAATCATTACATGATTCATATCAAATCATCACACAGTTCACCTTGAATATGTATGATTTTTATTTGTTAATTATACCTTCGTGAAGCTGGAAAAAACAAACTGCTTAATCTGTTTTCTGTTACTTATAGCAGAATATGTAAAACTGGGTAATTTATGAGGAAAATAAATTTGTTACCTAATGTTATAGAGGCTGTGAAGCCCAAGGTTGAAAGGCTGCATATGGTGCAGGTCTTATTACTGGTAAGAACTCCTATAGAATCCCTAGGTTGTGTGGGGGCATCACATGGTGAGGGGGCTCAGTATGCTAGTCCAGCTCTCTCTTGCTCTCTTTTTTTTTTTTTTTTGAGACGAGTTTCAGTCTTGTTACCCAGGCTGGAGTGTAATGGCGTGATCTCGGCTCACCGCAACCTCCACCTCCACCTCCTGGATTCAGGCAATTCTCCTGCCTCAGCCTCCTGAGTAGCTGGGATTACAGGCACGCGCCACCATGCCCAGCCAATTTTTTGTATTTTTAGTAGAGACGGGGTTTCACCGTGTTGACCAGGATGGTCTCGATCTGTTGACCTCGTGATCCACCCTCCTCGGCCTCCCAAAGTGCTGGGATTACAGGCGTGAGCCACTGCTCCCGGCCCTCTTTTTTTTTTTTTTTTCGGAGTCGGAGTCTTGCTCTGTCATCCAGGCTGGAGTGCAGTGGCGTGATCTTGGCTCGTTACAAGCCTCCTGGGTTCAAGTGATTCTTTTGTCTCAGCCTCCTGAGTAGCTGGGATTACCGGTGCATGCCACCACCCCCAGGTAAGTTTTGTATTTTCAGTAGAGATGGGATTTCACCCTATTAGTCAGTCCGGTCTTGAACTCCTGACTTCGTCATCCGCCTCCCAAAGTGCTGGAATTACAGGTGTGAAGCCCTGTGCCTGGACTTCTTTTTCTTTTTAAGATTCCCACTTCCATGATAAACCATTAATCCATGCAGGGATTAACCCATTCATGAACCCTAATAACCCAGTCTCACCTCCTAAGGGCCCTGCCTCTCAATACTGCCACAGTGGGGATTAAGTTTCCACAAGAGTTTTGAAGGGGACAGACATTCAAACCATAAGCACAAACAAAAAACCCAAGACAAGAAAAAAAGGTAAAATAAAATTTTATCATCTTACTTAGAACCCTGATCTCAGCGAATTGTAGTTAGACTCTGAGGTTTTACAGAAGCCCAGTTTTAATGGAATTAAATTAAATTGAATTTTGATTGAGAATCTGATTGAATTTTGCCTGGGAAATATCTTGCTGTTTTAATTTGAAGGAGTCTAGGAAAGGCGGCATGAGTTTACATACACTTTGACTGTGAGTTGATCCTAACTGGTATGATCAGGTCGTACTAATTATGTTAAATATTTGTCCCAGTTTTTGCTACTAGTGGAGCTATTGGCTGTATACAACTTGAAAAAAATTTAGCGTCACGTTGTTTTACTTGTTGATGAGAAGTAGATGAAAGTGTGAAAATCATTACCTTGTGGAGTGTATAGTCTAGAATTTCATAGCTGACAGGTGCATCCATATGTCGTATTTTTAGATGGGGAAACTAAAATTCAGTTAGATTAACAATTATTCGAAATTTGGCTAACAGAAAAGCAGACTATTTGGACTTTTTGTGGAGCTCTTACTGCCTGCAATTTCTCTGCTTTTATTTTGATTGTTTAAAAATCTTTCATACCGAAAGAGCTCTGATACCTGCCTGAATGCAAACAGAATTCTGTTCTAGGGGTTTTCTAGGTTTTGTTTGGTTCCATCAAAGTAGAGACTTGTATATTTCTCATGCTATAGACGGTGAAGTAAGAGAGAGGCAAAACAGAAGCATGGTGTACAGATGGAAGGGACCCTAAACACCCATTTAAGAAAAGGTTTCTGTCTTGCTGCCCAGAGAGGTTCATCACTTTCCCAAGTTTCCCCCAGACTGTTGATGGCCATGCTGGGATTAGACCTTCAATAGTTTTTCCTCTGTTCCCTGATTCCCTGTACAGTGTTCTTTTTATTATATTCTTTCCTTTATTCCTCTCTCTCTCTTTTTTACAGCTTATTAAGGTATATTTAGCATATCATAAAATTCATTTATTCGGAGTATACAATTCAGTGTTTTTAGTATATTTATAGAGTTGTGCAACGAGCACACAAAATAGTTTTAGAAAAATTTCTGCCAGGCATGCTGGCTCATGCCTGTAATCCCAGGACTTTGTGAGGCTGAGGTGGGCAGATCACCTGAGGTCAGGAGTTTGAGATCAGCCTGACCAACTTGATGAAACCCCATCTCTACCAAAAATACAAAAATCAGCCAGGCATGGTGGCACATGCTTGTAATCTCAGCTACTTGGGGGGCTGAGGCAGGAGAATTGCTTGAACCCCGGAGGTGGAGGTTCAGCGAGCCGAGATCACACCCCTGCACTCCAGTCTGGGTGACAGAGTGAGACTGATTATCAAAAAAAAGAAAAAAAAAAGAATATTTTTAATATCTTAAAAAGAAATTTTATATCCATTAGCTGTCATTCCCTATTTCCCATTTCTCCTACCCCAGTGAACTACTGATGTACTTTCTGTGTCAGACCTTTTGTGTCTGACTTCTTTCACTTAGCATAATGTTTTCAAGATTCATCATGTTGTAGCATGTGTCAGTACTCCGTTAGTTTTTATGGCCGAACAATATTGTATTGAATGGTACACCACATGAGTTTCTAGGCATTTAGGTTGTGCTGTGTTTTGGGATATTGTGGCTAATGCCACTGTAAATACTTATATATAAGTTTTTGTATAGATGTGTTTTCAGATTTTCTTTAGTATATACAGTACCTATGATTAGAATTGCTGGGTTATGTGGTAACTCTTTAGCATTTTGAGAAACTGCCAAACTGTTTTCCATAGTGGCTGAGCCGTTTTACATTCCCACAAGCAATGTGTGAGGGTTCCAGTTTCTTTGCATCTTCACCAACACTTGTTATTGTCTTTTTGATTAGAAAGGGTTTTAAATCGTATATCATTGTGATTTTCATTTGCGTTTTCCTAATGACTAATGCTGTTGTACAACTTTTTATGTACTTATTGGCTATTTCTGTATTTTCTTTGGGGAAATGCCTATTTATAGCCTTTGCCCATTTTTAATTGGGTTGTCTCTTTATTGTTTGTCTGTAAGAGTTCTTTATATGTTGTATGCTCTATCTACTTGCATACACCAGATATGAGTCCCTTGTCAGCTGGGTTTGACTTGCAGATATTTTTTCCCATTCTGAGGGCTTTTTACCTTCTTGATGGTGTCATTGGATGCTGCTGTTGCACTCTGATAGTCCACAACTAAGAGAAATCATCCTTCTGATCTTTCAGATGTCTTCTTTGTTACTAACCTATGTCGGTTGAAATATTTAAAAGGGTATTTGCATTTCCTATTGTAAATAGTATTTTTGCATATGCTGTGGGACTAAGCATTTATAATGTTGAAATTACCAAAAGAGACAGTTGTTTAATTTTCGATCTAAGAGGCTCCACCGTCTGAAATAAAACTTAGGTCCCATGGATATTCCTAGATTCTCCCGAGTGCTTTGGCGCTTTCTTGTTCATAATTTTGGGTAGTAGGTCTCTAGTGAAGAGGAGTTAGTTTTTGTTTATTTCTTGTGGAAGGCTCTTAAGGAAGCATATGAAATTCGTCCATTTTATTTACCATCATAGCTGTAAAAACCTTTATGAAACATACCATACACAATCTTCTAATTGGAAAGACCAGATGTATTTAGAAAGCTCCAGCTGTCTTCTCAGCACTCTTCTGTGTCTCTCTCCAGTTGCTGACGCTTGAATTTGAATGACATGTATTTAAAAAAATAGAGTTGCAAAATTTTCATAAATGACAAATGCCTTTTTTCACAAATAATGGAAAAATGAGTGTAACTACAAATGATTTTCTCTTTGTAATACATGATTTTGTTACATGTTTAATTACTGAAGTGAGAAGATTTTTTATTTTTTTGTCATTTTCCTCCCCAAAGTCCCTTCCTTACAGCCTCTCCTCTCCCTACACACCATTGTCAGACTTTAATGTTAGGACATCATCTTAAAGAACTGGTCCTTACTGACTCAGTCCCCACTGTGCAGTAAGCAGTTCCTTGAGTTTGTTATAAATTTTGGCAGGAGTGGAAATCTAGGTCACCAGGGAACTCTTGATTAAATTACTCCTGAAGTGCACTAATTGGTCTTTTCCACAGTGCTTCAGAAGTTCCACGGAGACACTGGCCACTTGGCAAACTTTGCCCATTCAAATCTAGTCTCAGCTCGGTTTTCTCGAGTATTTTCTCACTTTTGTTTTCTAAGAAGTCACCTATTTTATCTCCTCCTGCTCTTTATTGCTTCTAGTTTCTGATGAAGAATTGAAAAGAAGAGTAGCTGAGGAGCTGGCATTGGAGCAAGCCAAGAAAGAATCTGAAGATCAGAAACGGTGAGTTTTGTGGTATCAGAGAGAGGTTTTGGTGGACTTGTCATATTTACCAAATATTTTTAAAGAAGTATGATGTTAATAAGGCTCATTATTTGTGTATGGCTGAACCTCAGAATGTGCTGAACACATGAACTTGGCCATTTTTGGGTTTAGATTGTGCCTCTTAGAGCCTTATGTTACCTCCTTCCCAAAATTGACTGTAAATTATCATTATATCTCTTGTATTGGTTGCTTGAATATGGAGCCCTGTTTTCTCAATATATGAGAAGGAGTTTTTGAGGATTCTCTGGGAACTTCCCAGTCGATCAGCGAATGTATTCATGATTGAAAATTATATTGCCTGCTACAGGCACTAAAGTAAATATTTTGGCTCATGATGAATATCATGTGTGATACATAGGACCTGGATTAACAAATAGCACAAATTATTATTCTGTTCACTTAAAAAAATTAGGATGTTACAGATATAAATAAGGTTGGAAATAAAATCCTGTTTCCATCCTCTGAAGTTAACCTCTTTTTAACGTTTTATTGCTTGAGATTTTTTCCTCTGCACACTCTTCCATCTTATTGTTGCCGTTATTAATACTACTACTAACAACCCCTAAAGAGTGTTCAGTGAAGTGTTTTTGTAACAGTAGAAAATTGGAAGCAATCCAAGCTGACCATCCTGGGAGACTGACCGAATGAATTATGGTACATGCCTGCAGTGGAATACTAGGCCATCAGTTAGAGCCTTGTGTGCTGATTCAAAAAGATGTTGACGAGCTATCAACTGAAATTGAAAAAAAAAAACCACCATAAATGGTTTTTTTAAAAAGCATCATTTTTTAAAAAAAAGTACCGCTTTTTGAAGTTTGAGTATGTACTTATTCATAAAAAGATGGGAATACATTTTAATCTAAGATAAAGTGCTTCCCATCTGTACTATTTCTGGAGTTTTCATATAGCTTAGAGAATTACGCTTACATGATCATGTGAATGTCTTTTTACTGTGAGCACCAAACACATGCTTGCCACTGAGCAGATGCTTAGTTTGTATTTGTTTTGTTTTGAACTGCCCAACTGTTTTGCCTGAGAGATCTGGAGGTAAGGGATCTTTAAACTGGACTGGAGTCCTCACTGGCCATAGACACTTTACCGTATAATTTAACCTCTTTGACTTTAAATATTTCATCTTTAAAATGAGGGTGATGAAGAATTATTCTTTAATATATCTTTTGACAACTTGCTAAGCTAACTCCCAGTTTGCACAAAATATACAGAACAGAATATGAATTTTAGATTAAGAACGCCATTTTCTCAGGAAATAGAGAAGGTTCATGGCTTATGATTTAAAAAATCAAGATGTAATTGGTACTGCCAAAAAGGTCTGCATGTATTTCCACAGTTTTCCATGGAGTACTTTATAATTATTTAATTGGGTTAGGTTGATAGACTGTACAATTAGATAGTGAAGTTTAAATATTTAAAAAAATTTAGATTACTTTCATTAAGAAGCAAAGACAATGTGGTAAAATGTCTTCAAAATTTTATTTTTAATTGAGTTTTATTTTAATAGGGATTTTTTGGTTAGACTCTCATATTTACTTTGCTTATTATATTTCACATAGGATTTTTTTTTTTTTTGGTCTTCCCTTCTCTCCATATGGTGCAGGCTTTTTGTTAAAATAACTCTCACTGTGGTTTTTTTTTTTTCTTCATTATTCAGCTCCCATTTGCTCTGCCTTGGCTCATGAAAGGGAAAGGGCAGATGAGATGAATAAAAGGTGCCAGTGAAAGCCAATTTCATATCTTAGGTGGAATGGGGTTGGCAGCCTAGCTGTAACCTGGACAAATGACTATTGATAAAGAATTTATTTTCTGTCACCTTTAAGGAGAGCAGAGGGTGGCATAGCCTTTATATTATTTTTTTCTTTTTAAAAAGTGTTTTGTTTGAAGCCTGCTTCATGAAAACTTCCAGCTGTCAAATCTTGGCAAAAAAAAAAAAAATGTGTGTTCATCTATATGATATTTCTTAAGAGAATCAATAGCTATTTTTTTCTTTCTTTTTTTTCTACTAGAGAAGAAACTTCAGAAATAGCATTAAGAAGGTTTTGTGTGCAGTCTTTTAGCAGCAACTTTTTGGAGTCACAGAGCATGTATACATTATTGTAGGTGTTGGCTAAATTGAATCGAGATTTGTAGGCAGTTTTAGAAAATGGCTCCTCTTACCTTTGTACTGTTCCTCATATGGTATGTGCCCTGTGTGCCAGGTTTTCTCGTTTGGCTCCAAATGCACACAAACCTGTTGACCAGTTCTCAGGCACTTAATATCTGGACATAGGCATCCACATATGTTTTGAAGAAGCTTGTTCGACAAGGACTTTGGAATTAATTTCGATTGTGATATTTTTCTTGACTATCTACTATCATTGTAACCCTTTTTAAATGGAGATTTTAAAGCAGTGAGAAAAATAGAGTATGGTGAATCCCTATACCACATGGCACAGTTTTAACAATTCTGGTTTCATCCATACCTCTAGCCACTCTACCCATGTGGTGATTGGTGAGGAGAAGTGGTATCATTTTTAACAGGCAGGTGAATTTTACGGCAGAGAAATATTCCAAAACGTCTCCTGAATTGAGATAAGTACTTTGTTTCTGTTAGATTTGTTTAGTTGGAAGACCGAAACTTAGCTCTGATTAGCGTAGAAAGCAAGGAAATTTCTAGGAGCGTAAAGAATATATAGCTCAAAAGAAACAAAAGGAAGACTAGAGAACCATTAGCAAGGGGCGAACTGGCTGTTTCTAAAACTGTGCATAGTGAGGAAATAGTTCCCCAGCAGGAAATCATGAGGAGCATTCCATGAGGAGGGAGAGCAGATGCTGGGTGCCTAAATTTCATTGCATGCCACTGATTTTAAGATTTTAGTGTATTTGATGTACCCTGTGAAATATATTGCTGCAAGTTTCAACAATACTTTTACCTCTCAGGATTTTCATATTGAACAGTTCGTTAACACTAATTTTGAATTTTTGAAAACATTTATGTATATTCATAAGAAGGATAAAGCAAGCAAAATAAATTGATTAAGGCAGTGGTTCTCAGCTGGGAGAGCATTTGGTCCCCAGGGGGCATTTGACGATGTTTGGAGACATTTTTGGTTGTCATAACTTGTCAAGAGTTATTGGCATGTAGTGGATAGAGACCAGGGATGCTGCAGACATTCTGTAATGCACATGACAGTCCTCACTCACTGCTGCAACCCCCCAACCCCCTGCTATTTTCCCCCCACCAAAAAGAGTTATTTGGCTCAAAATGTCAGTTGTACCAACAGTGAGAAACCAAGGGTTAAGGTATTCTTCAAACTCGCCCATGTTGGATTTAGTTGTTCTGGATCACTTCTGGACTTAGGGTTTGAGGTCTTTGTTTTTCCACACAGTATCATACTCTGTGCCATCAAAACCTTGGTGACACAGCATTCCTTCAAAGATTGTTCCACTCTTGTTCCTGGAATTTTTCCAAGCTGCTGACATCAGTTCTGCAAATTTTGATGCTTAAGTGCAAGCCATGACAACTGCAGTGGGACTGCCGCCTGGCAGACAGCAATTTTCAGATGCTTTTAGCTTTGTGAAAATGTGGAAAAATATGTGTCCTAGAATTGATGAAATGCAGTCCATATACACTCCAGACCACATAACATTTGTCAACTTGGAATGACTTCCCGAGTGTCTTGCTTGACCTTCTACTTAATACAGAAGCCTTTTTTCAGCCTCTGGGACCAGTAGGGCCACATACATTTAGATTCCATTCGAAATCATTGAAACTGTTGATATTTCATTAGGTCATCTAACATTTACCCCAGCCCCTTTAAGTTTCCACTCCTCAATCTAATGCAGAGGTGGCATACTTAAAAGTTGCCTTAGAGGAGGTTTCCTACTAAGTCCACAGTGGTTATTAATTAATAACCAATATGGCTATTAATTATAAGCGCGATGACTATATATGTTATATTTTCATTTTATAACACACTTAGATATGGACTCCTAATTCATTTTATCATAGATTTATCCTGTTTTATGGGGATCTTAAGTGATTTGCTTCCACAAATCATGTACCCACAAATTGCAGATATATTAGTCCACACACTAAAATTGTTAGGTTGAATTTGAAATCATGGTTTTGCTTATCAAAACATCTAGGAGACAGAATACTTGCTCCGTGTACCCAGAATCCAGAGTAAATGCCTCTGTCAGCAGTCTGTTTTTGCTATGATACTCAATTGTGTGTTTGGATTATAGCTGACCATATTGTGTTATAAATATATGTAGGCCAATAAAGCAAGGGCATAATATGTTACAGTTTGAGTATAGAATTTTAAATTATGATTTACTTCTCCCCTGTGCCCTACTTCCAAAATTCAGTCTTTGACAGCAAGAAAAATGTGACTACTTCTGACCTCTGACTTTTGGCATTTGAATTTCACCTCTTTACCTATAAAGGCAAGTGAAAGTGTTTCAGTTTTAATAATTTTATTTTTAAGAAACCAAGAAGAAAGGGACTAGCTGCTTGATGTTGGAACTAACTGTACATCAAGCAAGATTACTTGCTTGCTGTTTTTAAATGGACGTTAGTTGAGATTTTCCCCGCACTTTTAGTTATTTGGAAAGTTACATTAGATTTGTGAGACCTAAAATAATCAATTTGGTTTAATAAGTGGTTTAATAAATTAGTCATAAATTTTGTCAGCCGTCTGGGTTAGAGTATAGTGTAGTTCATTTATTTTTCCATTGATAGCATTATTGATATAATTAAATAAGGGCTTAAAATTTATTTGCGCCTTTTAGTTTCTCATAGTAATGGTGAAGTTTAGAGGGATGGTACCATCTGTTTAAGTTCATTATATATGATAATTTAGCTTGATTTTATTATTACATATGTTCTGCCTTTGAAAAAAGCAGAAAGAAAAAGGCAAAAGTAAAAGCAGAAAAAAGGAGGAGGAAAGAGTCCTGAAACA